TATGATTTGACTTTATGTTCATTTTTTTATATTTTTTTTACTTAGCCTTTAACTTTGGTTAATTTTGCCATGCAAGCTAAGTTGAACTAGATGGGCCTAGGTATCTTGGGCTATATATTGACTTATATTACACTACAGAATTCTCCTGCCCAGATATAAGACAATATATAGAAAATATATGCGAATTTCTGGCCAAGCTTAAGTCAAAATATAGCCAAAGATACAGTACATTCCTGTCCAGATATTAGAAAATATATAGAAAATATATGTCTTAACACAAGGCAATATATAGTCTAAGATACAGTCTAAATATAAGTCAATATATAGACTAAGATATGGTCCATATATGAGATTCAGTACATTCCTGCCCAGATATTAGAAGTCTATTCCATTTTGTCCAAGTAATGTTTATAACTATTGATTCATAATTATTATTAGGCAGGAATTATTTACCTAAATTTAGTCTTTTTTTGCTGGATCCAAAATATATATAAATCAAGGCAAAGTATTATATTTATTAATTCGTATTTATTTGAAGAAAAAAAGTAAATAAACAAGAACAAATGATTTTAACTCTTTTTATTGCATTTTATTTGTTCTAATTGCATATGCATTTCTCAGGGAAGGGCATTCAGAGTGCAGTTTCTTCTCACTTCTACGCCTCGCATTTTATTGTTGTTCGGGCTCCCTTACAGATTTAACTTGTCTTTCATTTCGGCAAGTCACGACCCGCGTAATGAGCTGACTGCAGCTCCACGGACCGGGACTGGGGCTGGGGCTTATGATCTTCTCTTTGTCTTCTGTTGCAAAAGGAAGTCGTCGCGTTGCCTGACTGCCTAACTGACTGACTGCCCGACCAAACAGACAAAAAAGCAACAACAACAACAACAACAAAAAATGTTAATTTTTTCCCATTGAGCAATGCGCCGATAATTAACCTCGTTGGTGTTACGGCTGCTGACCGGCATGAAAATTGATCTGGCTGCTGAAAATTGAAATTCAATTTATGAATACGACCGCGACACGCCTGCAAAGTGCTTAAAATATATATGTACATATGTACATATATACGACTATAGTTGGAACTAATCATTTTGGACATGGCTCAAAGGCTAAAGAGAGAAAGAGTGGAAGAAAATGGAGAAGAGTAGGAGCCTTAAGCGGGCTGATAAGCAGCTATGCAATTGGCTGGATCGGTCAGAAAAATTTATATAATATGAATAAGAGCAAAGGGAAAAAATATTGTAAAGATTTTTGTAATATAGTAATGTAATAGAGCTCTCTCATAAGTTCAATAAACTAAGTCAAGAAAAGGGTCTCGAAAATGTGAAGAAGTCGGGAGTGTACGACTAGGGAATGCCCTGAACCCTCTACCAACTGTTGAAAAATGGAGGTTGCTTGGAGGAATGTTAAGACTATTAATTAATTTAGAATAATAAATAAATTTAATTAAATATGTTTTCTTTACATTTCTCAAGATTTAAATTCTTTATTTTTCTTTTTCTTTTCACAAAATACTAGGTACTTATATATATTTTCTGTTTAAATCAATTTTTTCTTCCGTTTCTTTTACTCGACTATTTTTTGTCTTTCAGCCAGTTTTTTTTTCACTAGAATTTCATTTGGTTGAAAATTAACTTTGTGGCTATTGAGGCGCATTTTTTTACGAGTCTAAGCCTTTAACTTTTGGCCACAATTTTTTGAGGCAATCAAATTTTTCACGCTCTCAGCGAAGCCTTCAGAATTTCTTTGTCGCTGTCCACGGGCAACATTTGACTTTTTGGCTTTTCGACTTAAAAATAGATAAAAAATAAAAAAAAAACTCTCAAAATCAAGGCTGCACTTTATAAGCCTTTCAAATGAAAGAAAATGCTCGTAAAAAAATCTGAAAATAAGAAAAAACAGTTTAAGCCGTGCTAATCAATGCCGATTCCGGGAAACATAGTTCTAGAATTCCGCCTAACCCGTTGCTAAAAAATCGTTTCGCTAAAAAACCTAGCAAAAAGATCGAGCAAAAAGCAGCTCGGTTCTGCGAAGTGCATAAAAAAGTTCCATTCTTCCATTTATATTTACGATTCTGTCAACTCTCGACCTGAACTCTGGCAGAAAGAGTTGAGAGCAGAGCAAAAAGGCTTAAAAAAACGCGGAAAAAAGGACCTTCGCCCTAAAAAAAAAAAAAACGCAGTGCGAGCAGCAGGCAGCACAATGCCGACAATTGCCACAAAAGGTTGCAATTGTGCCGTGTGCAACCCGTAAAAAATGCGACCGCAACAAAAGGGCTGCAGGCGAAAGGCTTGGGCAAGGACAACGCGCGGGTTAAAAAAGTAAATGACAAAAAAAAGAAAAAACGAAAGTCAACTTTGCACCGAACAATTGCACATTATTAGCCAGGACTAAGGACGAAGCAGACGCAGTCGCAGTCGCAGCTAGTTTGTGGCATGTGGCAGCAAGCGTCATAAAATCGCGAGCGTGCGCGCAAATTGTGTGCTGCCAAGGTTGCGAAAGGATGTGCCCAGCGCCTTAATCCTTGCACGCCGCTTTTCCCGTATTCGCCGTGTGTGTTTGCCAATATTTTGATTTCGAAAATAAACAATACGCCCACCGAACCGGGTTCAGGTCGGCGAGAGTCGCAGTTCAGTGAAGGGCTTGGCTGGAACTGGACCTGAGCCAGGTCCTGGGCAAGGATTAGTCGCGTTTAACCATGACGATTTCGGGCGAAACGGGGCGTACTCTGTTTGCTGCATTTAGCAAAGGATTACGGCCCATTTCGACCATAATTAGAGACAACAAGTTGTAAAGCCATTTTGTAACCAGTTTTCCCAAAAACCCGCTCAACACGCCGACAGCCCAGTCAAGATGCCAAATCAAAAGTTAAATGAAATATGTATGTCAGCGGCATTATCATCATCGTATCGTCCATGTCGCTGCTCCGCCAAGGCCACTTCTATGTAAATTCTGCTCATGCTGCACCAATTTTTTGCTACACTTTTCCCGAAAAAGAGAAAAAATCAAAAGAAAATGACATAAAACTAGCCAGTCGGAAAGGGTTCAGAATAACACGCACAATGTCCCAGCACGAAGCGCTCTCCTTTTTTAACGATGCCGCTTTGTGCGTTTTTTGTGTCCGACCGATCGACTGGTCTAGTTCGGGTGTTCGTACTATACCCTTTATTCCCGGAACCACTGGGATTTTGGTCCATTCCTTTTTTTTTCCATTCGCTGCGCCTTGGTTTGAGGCAACTTTTTGTCGAGTCGCGTACGCGGAATTCTTTATACCCAATTTTCACTTTAAGGCACGCAATTTCGAGTGCGGCTTTTATGTTATTTACTGTTTAACATTTTAATTGTAGCAGCTCGCAAGGCCTCAAATCTGAAAACACTTTATGGCTCTTCAAGGCGAGAGGGAGCGAGCGAGCGAGAGAGAGAGAGAGAGAGGGAGCGAGAGAGGGCAGCAGTTGCCTAGAAATTTTGGGAAGCGAAAGTGTTGACGTTGTTGGTCGGATGGGTTAGACACGGAATTGGCTTCATCCATACTGAGTTAAGTGCAATTTTCGATACGGCCTGCTGTCTTTTGTCAAGGCTGGCGAGTTGTCATTAGCTAAGGTTAAAATTGTTCATTAGGCGCGGCCTAAAAGCCAACAACGGAGACTAGTCGAAAATAAGAGTGAAAGTTACAGTTTGAACAGCACAAATCTATGATATATATGATATAAACTGATGCAGAAATTCTAGAACAATCGCCCCAAGGCTGCTTAAATGTAATCTTCATTTAAGTTGTTTATGCTTATGGCAAATACATATTTGTAACTAATGTGCAATGAACCAAGAAGATGCTGGTTCAAATCCTAGGCTAGAGTATGTGTGTAGTATTTTGTATTGTGGTATATTAGCAGAGGATCTTAGTATTCTCGTGAATAAAGAAAATAAAAATTGGTATAAGCTGCATATAAACCCTAACATAAGTATTTTTATTCAAACATATGTATGTATCGCATTAACAGAAATTGGAAAACATATACATAACATATGTTAATGAAATATGGAACCGAAATAAATCGAAATCTCATTTTCAGACTCTTTAGAGTACATATGTTAATCCCTACCTGCCATGCTATAGCCAAAATTATTGGCCAATACTGCCATTAAAAAAATGACACAATAGATGTCAAGGAAATATATAACTATATTATGCTAAAGGGTGGCAAAGAGAAATAGAATTTCTATAAACGGCAGACAAAGCCTAAGTGAAGTTTTTCTCTATCATACATATGTCTCTATCGCTATTAACAGAATTCGAGCAGACATGATTTTTAGTATTATATATAACCAAATCATACTAAAGGATGTTAGACTCAAAACTAACCTGAAATCGAAAATTTATATTCCGAAAAATTCTAGAAGATACACAAAAGACACACGAGCTCCTTTATGGCACAGACCACATTTAAATGCAACCTACAATTTACATAAAAACACAAGAGCAATAGAAAAAAACAAACCCTGCGCCGTAGTAAACCACAATAACTAGAACAATAATTAGCTAAAAATTGGGTCGCCTGCGTTGTAAACAATGAATTGGCAAACAAGTTGCGAAAACCACAAAAAAAGAACAGCAGAGGCTGGGAAAAAAAAAATATATAAAGCGTCGAACAATATAAAAAATCAACGGGAGAACAAAAAGATTTGGCTCAGATTCGGGTCGACTGTGAATGGAAAGAACTGGATATGCGGCTGGCCGCATAGCGAAGTGCGACAATTTTTGCACGTGGACTGCACTCATAAAAAATAATTAGACCAAAAAATGCGAACACTTAGCGGAAGATTTTGGTCAAAAATGCGAAAGATCTGTGGAAATTGGCAAACGGCCGGCGACCTGCGAAATTCAAGCTAAAAATCTGCACGCAGGTCGAAAGAGGATTACAATTTTTTTGTTGTTGTTTGTGTTTTGTTTGCATTTCTTCTATTTTTTGTTTGTCACGTGCTGTGTGCTGTGCCCCGTGTCCTGTTGTCCTGGCTGGGTCCTTGGAACACGCTGGTAAATTAGGCAAAATTATGTTATGCCGCGAGGCGATTCTGGAACGAGATCAGAACATTGAGAGCGCGTTTTCATTCTTGTCTTGTCGTCCGGGCGAGCGAGAAAAAATAAATTTATGATGCCCGCTCATAAAACATATTTTCAGCCCACTTACGTAAGAATTTTGCGTGTCCTTTTTATGTGTGGATTACCTTGAGAGTTTACGCAAAAATCGCCTGGCACATAATCTGAAATAGTTTTAGCTGACTTTTTTTGTTTGGTTTTATTTGGGCTCATTAGAGGACATGGATTTTTGCAGCCTCACCTTTTGGCTCGGCCCAAAGAGACGGCTCAAGGACACGCAGCGCGCTGTAATTAAAAGTTTTTAATAATAACACAACTGAGCCTCATTAATTACAGTCAGAGCCGGGAGTCCGGAGTCTGGAGTGCGTCCAGTCTCCCCTGTGCGTCCAGTTTGCCGGCTCCGAGTTGCAGCCAAATCGTTTTGCACATACTCGTAAACAACATTATCAAGCGGCCCGTCCAAATGCGATTAAGTTGGCAACATTAACTGGCGACAGCTAACCAAAAGCCAAACGGCCGGCAACCAGTTCCCCCACGACTTTCGGTTGCAATTAATCAAAGCAGCTCCCGCGGCTCCGAGTGGAGCCAACGAAGTTGATAATCGATATAATACTACTAAAGATTACTTATCAACGAAATCGTCGTTTCTACTTTAAGTCGTACATTAAATTGATGATAATGGCAAGGCAGAGGAAAGTTATGCTTAAATGTGAATAAATTGATTTGTGTTTATTCTGACATTGTGACATTAAAAGGCTTCATTTCTGAAAAATCTGTTACAAATACTGGACATTCAATGTAATTTAAATTTTATGATAATAATTTATGCTATTATCGGTTAGACTTAACATTGTCTATTATAGCTGTTAATTAAAAGTTATCATTTCTCAAAAATCTGTTACATAATTAAAACTTTACATTATCTATGATAATTATTTATGCTGTTATCGGTAAGTCTCAGCATTGTCTGTTATAGCTGTTAACATAGGTTTCATTTCTAAAAATTCTTTTAGAAATACTGGTCATTTAACATGTGTAAACTTTACATTATCTATAATAATTATTTATGCTGTTATCGGTAAGACTTAACATTGTCTGTTATATCTTCCGCATTACTGTGTGCGCCAAGGTTGTCAGACACGAAAGCTTTTCATATAATTGTCAATACTAGCCGCCCTTCGAAATGTAAACAGATTTCCCAAAATTGGAATTGTAATTCAACTTTTTGCGCTGCTTTTTTTTTTGGTTTGCTCCACTTTTGAATGTCTTGGACAGTTTTGAAACTGCAAATGAGTTAAATTCCCAGGCAATGTTTCTTTACATAGCATAATTATCACAGTTTTTTTTATTGTTGCTCTCGCCCTCTCTCTTTTTAAGGGGGAATCTGTAAGCAAGAAGCAGCTGGCCAATGTGGTCCACATTCGACAGGGCCCAAACCAAAACGTAACCAACAATTGTCGCCAATTAACATGAATGTTTCGCTCTTATTAGTTAGCCCGAATTCGAGTTGGAGTCAGCCTGTTATTAAGCGTGGAGGGGCCTGTTGCCTGTTTGGGGCATTGAAAGGGCGCATTAATCAGCCGGACAAATCGAGTTGCAGTTGCGTGAAACGAGTAGCTCATTGATTACGCAAAGTATATGTAAATTATATTTGTGTGTTGTCAATTCTGCGCTGCGATAACGATATGACTATATAGGCGACGATGTGCGGCAGCTCCGATTCCAAGGTTTCCAATGCGAACACACTCGTCGAAATCGTCGAATCATTTATTATTGTTTTTAATGGCATGACACACTCACACACACACACATGCAAGGAGCTAATGACAAGCGACAAGTCAGCGATTCCACAGGTGGAGAGAATCCGCGTCATCGCTTGTGGATTTGACTGCGGGCCCGTTCTCTGACACGCTTCTGGCCAATGTCAGTTGCATGCGCGCTTTGTTTTGGATGAAACCGAAACGCGACGCCCTCGTGTGCACTCGGACGCGCCCCACTTCTTATCGCATGCTCGAACCTATACAACAGAAATCAAATCAGAATAAAAAATAATGAAAAAAATAAAGTTCTGAAAATGCACATTGCAGCACGTACCCAGCCGGGCGACCACTTCAAGTGCAAACTGTCACCGAAGCGGGCTTAATACAGCTTTTATATAACTGGAAAACTGAGATGCCGGTACGTAATAGACTTTGTTATAGCTAGGCATTTGCGGCTTGTCAGTAGCTGAACTGTGACCCAATCATTTGGGCAACTGGACAAGAAAAATCGGGTTTCAAATTCCCAGGCCAGAGATGGATGCAAGTGGAACATAACTAGTTCTATTTATAAAGTTAGTTTGTAACGATAGCCTACTATAATTTGAATGAAAATTATAATCTAGCTTTACATATATTTCCTTATCGATAGCTATTACGATGGGGAGTACACAGATTAAGAACGAGTTAAATTTAAATGTTAGCCTGGGGAGCTAGTGTATGGCTGTAGCTGAGGCTATGTAGCTAGTCCAATAAATATAAAACATAATTATAATCTCGGAATATATATATTCCCGTATTGTTTATTATTGATAAGCATTCTGCACAACTGGAAGGCTAGTGTATGGATGAGGTGGTCCTCAGGAGCTAGTTCTATTTATAAAGTTTCTTTGACAGTTTTTAATTAAAGTCTATACCTAAAACATCTCAATCAATCTAGAAATAGCAACAAGAATGAAAAATATATTTCCTTCTGGACGAAATCTCGCAAGTTCGTAGACAATTCGTCACTTCCTAGATCTATCATTCAGAACTCATGACAATATTTAATAAAGATATTTATTCTACTATATTATATCATATTTTCCTTACTATAAATATAATTATATATTATAATCGTCCATCGACTTACCCCACCCTGAGGCTCCTCCATCAATATGAGTGCTCCGTTCAGACCTCGTCACATGGCGCACTCCGAAATTTAGGCCTGTTGAGCACATGTGTCTTCTTCCAGCTCCAAGTAGAGCGAATACTCCAGACCCTAACACATAGTCGATTTGCACAACAATTTCCTGAACTTAGAAACAGCCTAATAACGGGCCAATTATAGCCTCTATGCCAAAAATATAAAAACCACTAAAAGGGGGAAAAAAAAGCAACAATTAGGGCCTAATTTCTGGTCTGGCCTTGAGCGTATCCGAGTTGGGCCGCGCTGCGCTGCATCGCATTAGATATGCCCAGGAAGCGAATTCAAAGGAAATCGAGCCCAGCTCCCGCTCCAATTTTCACTGTGAGGCGAGTGCTAAAAAGGGTTTCACCGCGCGGCAGCTGTTTGCAGTCCATAATTGAAGCATTCCGTAGGTAATTGGTGGCGATTTTTTATGCCGAACGCATAAATTAACACCAGGCTGTAGTCCAGCTTGGAAGATGGCTCCTCAACAGATTTGTGTAATTGCGGAATGAGTCAAGAGACTGGGTTTTTTTTTTGGTCTGGCATTGTAATCGGAGTCTTTGAGCCTTTTAATACTTATGTCCTAAGCCAGCCGAGAGCTGATTATAAGGTTCGGACGGCAGGCAATTTAATTTTGGGGTCAGAAGTGCCGCGTTTATATGTTAATTTTGTGCCGACTTTTTGGCAGCGTTTTGTACCTCATTAGAGCGGCGAAAGCGCGTTTACAAGTGTTAAATTGGCCAAATTACGGGTTGTTAACAGGATATAAAAGTAAAAGTGTCGGCTGCAGGAATCAGGGCTAACAGAATGCAACAGATTGCAGCCCCGACCTGCAGCAGGTGCCACAAATGCCCCGCTCCCCCCTCCATGCCAAAAAATGGCAGTCAATTCAATTTGGTAAAAGAAAACAACAAAAAAAAATAACTCAAATAACATGCAAGATACAAAGCAAATGTTTTGGCTCTTATGATGATGATGATATTATAAGCATTATATTGATGTTTAAATTAATGGTTTCATCAGAAAACCGATCAAGAATTTCATGAGCTCCTCTCCATAGCATGCGAGCTGTATTTAAATAGTCCATCTAAAAATGTTTATGTGTACTTATTTATAGGTAAACGATTTTCTATGATAAGTTTTCTTAAAATAAAATCGCTAAAGAGTCTAGAAATACATATGTTTGCAGCTATTTTCAGGTCGATTTCAATGTGTTCTGATTAATCTTCTATTGAAATAATTCTCATTCAATTGTTATTGGGTGAAGTGATGTTTGTCTTAAAGTTAGCCACGATTTTTTGGCAGGCTCATCGATAATCCACCAATTAAACTTGACTGATAAATGTGCTTAAATTACGCCTCTAAGTTGGGCGCGCTTTTTGAACTAATTTATCGATAACATTATCGATACTAAGCAGGATTCATCGATAAGTTCACCTAGATAAATATGTTTACAAGCGGCAATACTGAGATCGAGATTTTTTTCACTATTTGAACAAATGAATTGATAACATTATCGATACATAGTCCACCGAGAGTCCACCGATAAAATGGAATATTTAAAGAATAAACTTGCTTTGAAAAGCAGCTAAATCGATAATGTTATCGATTACAATAGGACCCCACGATCTAATTTAATATTGAAAATTGTGCTTTAAGTAAGAAGGATCGAGATAGAATAGATTAAATTAAAATATGGACGCCTAGGCTTGCCTTGAAATTTTCTGCGCTATCTGAGAAAGTTGGTCGATAACTTTTTCGATACAGACCAAATCTACTTAAAGTTTAATATTTAACTGATAAATGTGCTTTTTAATAAGATGGTTCGAGCTGAGTATCAAAGGTAGCCGCACTATTAAAGCTGGTCAATCGATAACATTATCGAGACAGTAGGAAATAAAAATTTAACTAATGAATGTGCCTTAAAAAATAGAGATAGAGATAGAGTAGAAACCATATAAATAGAGTATATATTAAGAGAATATGTATTAAAAATAATTTGTATAATTATAACAAAATACTTTAAATCTTCGCTATGCTATTTGATTTATGTGCTTAACAGGATGCAAAAGTAAAAGTGTCATCGAGTGCACAGTGGCAGGTGGCATCAGCAGTTCCCCGCATGGCCAGTGGCCAATTGAATTTGTATCTGACAGGGCTGGAGGAGAGGGAGGGGGCAGGGGGCACCATCGAACAGATCGTCAAGGCTTTTGTTTACTCAACTCGAGGAGTGATTTATGCAGAAATGCAAATGCAAATGCAACTTCAAATGCTAATTGCGGCGACGGTCAAAGACACGATCACGACTCCAGCGACTCGCAACACCCCAGCCAGAAAGAAGACAGTTCATCACAAATCAATGCTAGCGGCCAGCATGTGCAGCACCAGAGACAGAAACAGAGACAGAAACCAAGCCAGCCACGGACTCAGAATGACGACTAGTACATGGTAGCCGAGGCACAAGGCAGCGGCTCATTCATATGCAAATCTTGTGGTGGCCACAAATGAAATGCCAACACGCAGAAATGCAAAGAGAGCATCGAATTGCAAATTATGGCAGAGTCCGCCGGCTGCTCAGGTACGCGGTGGTAGCCGGTGGTGCCCGGTGGTGCCCGCTGGTGACGGTTGACAAAGCTGCGCCTGAATAATTCCCTTGTTAGATACATAGTTGAGAGCTCGCGCGTGGCCGCGGGCTCCAACTTCCGTTTGCGGCCAAGTGTCTGCCGCGATGCGTGACTCTTTATCTACAAAGCGTGGCCAGCGGAGCACAGTTCCAAGCACAGTTCGTGTAGCTTTGCAA